CTTGACGAGATATTGCACATGTACAATCCTAATTTTCATGCGCGTTATACGAAGAGTATATCTAAAAATTTAAAAAGAATTATTAGAAATTAAGTGATCATTATTTTGAGAAAATAAAACTGTATACATGTTTTAATTTTATCACCTTTTTTTATTTGTTTGCCTTTAATTTAAAAAAAAAATTATTTCATTTGTTATCATGGTAAACATGTTTTTTTTTGTTTTTGTTTTTCAGTGTTCCTATTGTACTGGTTGGAAATAAAGTGGATTTGCATATGGAAAGGTATAATTAAATATACATATTTCGTTAAAAAAAACCTGTACATATTTCTTTTTTTCTTCATTTTTTTAAAAATATGTTTGCATCTGTTTGATACAACTTGCATCTTAAGTGTTACATTATCTATTTCTTATTTTTAATTTTGTGATTGAAATATTATAAATGAAGTCTGTATGTACTTGTGATAATTAATATATGTATTTTCTTTTAATCCTTTTAACAGAACAGTATCATATGAAGAAGGAAAACGAGCTGCTGAAAGCATGAGAGCAGAGTTTTTAGAGGCATCTGCTAAACAAAATGAAGTAATTGTTTTTTCTTAATTTAAAAAAAATGGCATTTAATTTATTTCTTAATATAAATTTTTTTTGTGATCTGGCAGAAGTAATTTGATCCATTACATAATCTTTATTTAAAATTGTATTTTTGCATCTTAAGAAATTGTATAAAATTTTCAAAGGTTATCTTAGCTATTAAATATGTACAGTGGGGTACGCAGAATTTTTTCAAGGGGGGTGTTCATAATTTTCTGAAACTACTAAAAGAAATTCGTTAAAAAGCACTATTATTTCCCTAATTTAGACAGCTAGACAATTTTGACTTTTTATTTAGACAACATTGCTTAGTTAAATTTTGATTTGATTTTTTAAGTTTAAGAACATAATGTAATATTTTCTGAAAAAAGTTTAATGTCATATGGGTGGAAAGTAACACTTTGAGGGCCACTTTCACATTCATTAGATTTTGTTATGCTAGAAACGTTTTCTTCAACGGAAGTATCACATTTCTGTACAACAGAAAAACTTGCATTGGTACTAGATGCTGTCACCTCACTAATTTCAGATCGTGATTTTTTCTCAAAATAATTAAAAATTGCTAAATTCTGGTGTTAAAAATTGTTTATCCTAAAGATCCAAGAACAGCAAATATATGTATATATTGGCATAGAAATATCCGCTATGCTATGATCTCAA